CATAAGACAGAGGGAAGCATCTCATTTCCACAATGTTTAATATGAACACACATTAATCTTATAATCATCATTGAATAAACCCAACAAGGAGTTAATATCTTATCTGCAGCCACAAACAGCTGCAGTTTCAGCATCTGAAGGCTGAGTTGGCATTAAGGTCAGAGCGATGGCATGTCCACCATCAGCCTCTCTCTGTCTTCTCTTTCAGGGCAGACGGCAACGTTTACTGTTGTTAACTCCTTAATGACCTGGACTCAGGCTCAGAGCCACTGCAGAAGCCACTACACTGACCTGGCCAGCGTGAAAAGCTCCACTGACAACGACAACATAAAGGCAATTAAACCCGCAGAGGAAGCCGTTTGGCTCGGGCTATTCAGAGACCAGTGGAAGTGGTCCAATGGATCCCTGTTGGCATACACTTACTGGATGTCCGGAGAACCCAATGGTCCCACTGAGAGCTGTGCAGCCACCCACTTCGACCAGTCTGGAGTCTGGGTGGACTGGGAATGTCGTGAGGCTAAAGCTTTCATCTGCTTCCATGGTGAGTCTCTGTCTTTATTTTCAGAGAGAGATTTGATGCCGAAATCAAAAAACATAGAAAACCAAACATAGAGTTTCTTCCAACAGAAACGAAGCCACTGATGAAATTCTGTGTCCTTCTACAGAAGTTCCTTCTTCAAACCATGTGGTGAAGATAAAGCTGGCGGGGAGCTCCACTGTGAACCTGCAGGATGCCGCTGTGCAGGAAGGCCTGCTGAACCAGGTCCAAGAACATCTCTGCTTAGTCCCAAAGCATTCTGGGTGCACTTCTAGGTTTACTCATAACAGTTTCAGCATTAATCGCTTCACTTTCTGACAGAGTCTGGTTTGAAGCTAGACGCCACGACCGGAGGCGTGGCCAGAACATTTTAATAGGGGTGGTCAGTCAAAAACCAATGTAAACTGAGGGGGGGCTGAAAACGGATCGGCGCCAGAACCTCAGGGTTCATCTACTCTGTTCCAACAGGAACGAGCAAAACATCCAGATTTTCTAAATAAAGACAAACTATCTTTCCTAAAGCCTTTTGATTACAAATAGATGCATAAATTTCAGCATCCAAACTGTCTAAATAGAAAATTGGAAAAAATGTCTGGGGGAAAACATCTTTTCCATTGTTATTACTTACTTTTATCAAAAATGGTTCTGCATAACATTAATATTATATAGACTAATATCTAGATTAAATTGATTTTCAGTTATTAAAGTAGGTATTTATCTAAGATTTCACTGAAAACTCCTTATTGATTTGCAGAGACACTTAATTTTCTCTTTACTCCACATCACACAAAATTAGGGTTTTAAAATACCATGAATTCTGTACATATCGACCTTAATATTAGCATGTTGATGTGCATAAATAACCACAGCGCTGCAGTTGTCAAGTTACTAATAAAATATGAAAAATTTAAATGTTTAATAAGTTTAAACATTTCTATTGATAGTATTACTGCTGCCGTCTGTATTAGAGGGTGAAAAAAATGGTAGGGATGGTCAATGATTGTCTATTGGGGCCATGGCCACCCCTGGCCCCCCATCTAGCTCCGCCCCTGGCCATGACTGATGAGGAACTGACACTGAACGTATGTCAACCATCAGATAACTGACCTGGAACTGATGGCAGACGCTGGCATATGTACTCGCGGCATGTCTACGTGTTTCAGCGCGTTCATAACTTATACAAAACGTATCCATAACTTGTCCAACGTAAGCCTGCGTTTCTGACAGTTTTTTCTTACATCAGGCATACGCTGGTCTGAATCGTCAAAGTGTGACAACAACTTCAGTCCCAAAAACTTCTCAGCTCCTCTGGCAATGATCCTGATTTTTCATCAACCAAGGGCGTCGGTGTGCCATTTATTTCCCTCTCTACCTCAAGGCTGAAATGGTGGTGTGGCTGCACAAATATTACAGAAAAACTGAGTAAAGAATGGTAGGGTAGGTCCGAAAGCAGCAGATATAAAGATGAAGACCGGGTATCACAGTGTTTGCAGAAGAAATGCAGAAAATGTTCTTTTCTAAATGTGTTACCATTAACTTTAACTGGGAAGTTAACAGGTTAAGGACGAGAATATTGGTGCTGAAAAGGTTAATCCTGTGAGGTCATGCAGTGCCTGATAATTCTTTACTGCGACTACAGGCGTTAGTTATTCTGTTTTTCTCCCAGTGACATGACGCGTTTATTTTAAACTTAACTCACTAATCCCTAATTATTCATAAGTTAATAATTCAGATGTAACAGAGCCTGATTTTTCTGAATTGTTATAATAATTTCAGTTGAAAGAGAAGCTGAAGATGCAGGGAGTGACTGCAGACATCAGACTGGGCTGGAAGCGGCGGCGGGATGGAAACGTCTTCTACCAGGAGAAGCAGGACGACCAGAAGTGAAGCTTGGAGACGGTGGAAAGAAAGTCTGGTTCAATAAGAACCCAAAACAATTTTTCAGTGCAAATTAGATATTATCTACGTATAGATGACTTTATGCATGGTTACAGGGATTATAGGTACCAGCTTCATCTGATACCTGCTCATGTTTATCTATTTATAGAAATGGCCAAAACACAGTCACATGGTGTTTCATCCACACGACTTTCCAAATGCGGTTTTAAAATTTTTAAAACTGTTTTTTTTTTCACAAATACTTTTTGCTTTGTAGCTGTGTAAACAAATAAAATGAGATTTAAAAATCCGCCTAACATGTTTGGGGAGTTTATGCGCTTCAGAAGGTTGCCCAGTTTGATCCCCACTGCCTCCACTATGGGTTCCTGATCAAAACCCTTAACCCCCCCCCCCACTGCTCCCCGGGGGCCGCTCAATGGCAGCCTACTGATCCCCAAGGGGAGGGGTTCAATGCAGAGAGTTCATGTCCCCAATGTGGGACAATAAATGGTTTCATTTTTAGCCCCGCCCCCTAATGGCTGCTATCAGTGGAAAGTAGAGTCTCTGACCTTTCCAAGGAGGGGTCAGAGGTCATTTCAGCTGATGTAACCGGCATGCGTTCCATAAGCTGCTCTGTTATTCTTATTTTCTATTCCGTTTGGTGATTTTATTGGTAAATTTCATGAAACAACGACTAAAACTTTAGGAGCAAAAGCTTTGCCTCATGCAGAAGGTCTCCAATAATGGAAATCAGTATATTTGTTGGACCAGATTCACTTTTATTTGGCACAATTTTGTCACTTTTGGCACCACTGTGCTAAAATCCCATTTCCTCCTAGCTCACTGCTCACTAAAACCTTCATGGAACAAACATGCTTCACCTGATTCAGTCCAGATTAGCTTGATTTATAGTCAAGATGTGGATCTATAAAGTCTGAGGTTCATCCAGAGTTTCTAATGGGCTTTCATGCTGTTTTGCAGAGTTTATTTTGGAAAAAAATGTGGCGATGCTAAATATTTTTCATTTTTTCTGTTTAATGGCCTTTAAATCTAACAAGGTGACATTTAAAATAATGGTTCTACCTGAAAAATATTCCTCAATGGTTTTCTGTTATACAAATACGAACTATTTCCTACTCATAGTTTGGGAGCTGGACTTGGTTTAATTCACATGAGTAATTTCAGGCAGAATTTGCTTCTAAGAACCTCTGGGCTTCAGGGAATAAGGCACCTTGTTGGAACTGTTCGTCCACATGTGCGTAACATTGACCTTATCTGGGGAATTCCCTAAAAAATATCCACTGGACTTGGTTTCCAAGATATGAAGACGTTTCGCCGCCTCTCCACGTCTTCAGATCTTGGAAACCAAGTCCAGTGGATATTTTTTGAATTTTTAGAGAATGACTATGACCTGGATGACTGAGAACCTTCATCAGCTCATCTGGGGAACCAATCAGGAACCAGATCAGGACCTGAACTCTGAGGGAAACAAACTGGGCTGTTTGGTAGAACCAGCTCTCCTTCAACGATGGAACGATAACGATTTCCTAGCTTATGTGATTACTTGAACATATCAACCCACACAATTCTCTTTCCCCCAAAAAATATTTCCACCTATTTCTTTTAAATTCACTATTAATGTCTTGGGAACCTTTGCTCTGCTGTTCAGGTTGTTTCATAGAGCAGGTTTAACAAACGCAGATTCAAATCCTCAACTATGAACTGATCCAGTATAAAAAGCCATCATCAGTGGAGCGCAGATTCAACGCATCACCATGACAACAGGAGACAGGAAGTGCCTATTTCACCCCACTGGAAACAAGATATGTTGATGCAGAAAAAAAAGGAGAATGTTTAAAAGAGAAAGAAACAGCTGCAAAGGGAAGGAAGGGATTGCTGCTGGAGTTAAAGCGTAAGTTTATATGGCAGGCTGTTTTTCCATTAAAAGCATTACATAAGAGCACTCTTCTTTGTGTTGTTCCATTTGTAGATCAGTAAAATTAGATTCTTCCTGATAATAAACACATTCCTAGACTGAACTGTAAAATTATACAGAATAAATTACATTTTTTCCGCAGAAACTGAATTTTAGAAAGTAAAAAATCTAATTTATACTTATTAGTGTTAGGTTTTATATACCTAGAAATGCTGCCAGATTCTATGTGGCTGTTTTGACATTTATCAGCTTGACTGAAAATGTTTTTATATCTGAAATAAATTTCTTCATAGTCATAATAACATGAATGCTGACTAGTAATTAATTGATAGACATCCAGAATGTTCATTCTAGATGTGAAGAATGTCATTTTGTTTTTTGGTCATTTTGAAAAGGAAAAATGTTTTTTTTAATCATATATCAGGAATAGATATTCAGTAAAACTGGTCGTCCCATGCTCGTCGGGAGGCCAAGCAATCCTGGAGGTGGGATCCAAAACATGTGAAAGAAAAACATGCTGAGTTTTCAGCTGACAAGTCATTAATTTTCTCTGGTGCAGCAACTAAACCAAACCCCAACAATGGCAGACATGTTTCTCATATAGAGGTGGAAATAAATTGGAAGAACCCATTTTAAAACGATCTACAGCTGCAAAAATAACGAGAAAACAAATCAGTTTTCAATGAAAGCTAATTAAGAAATACATTTACCAATCAATACAAAAAACAAATATTTTAATTCAACCCAAAAAAAAAATACTAAAAACTTAACATAGAAAACACCATACATGAGACCAAAGCCCCCCCCTTCAACTCTCCAGTGGTGCAGTCCTGTGCTCACCTGCTTGGAGAGAGACACAGCAGATCACAATCAGCTTTGATATTTGACCTCTTTAATTCACGTGTTTCCCTTTTAGAAGGAGTTAAGCAAAAAAAAATAAAATAAATAAAAATATTGTGCAGTGAAATAAATTGACCTTTTAACAAAAATGAAAACAAGTTGTTGCCTAACAGATAAACCAAACTCCAAACAAATCCACTGTTTTGACCAGGATGAAATTAGAGGTTTATTTCTTGACTGGTAGAAGATCAATGTAGATGTTTAGGTGAAATCACCTGTCAGCAGGTGAAGATGAATAAAAATGTTGCTCTAACAGGTATGACCTGTCCATCATCTGGTGGGTTCCTCCTCATTTTGATTCAGTCTCGTTTTACACAGTAAATACTGAGAGGCCATCATCCCAATAAATGGTCGTTATTAGCGGTTATCAGTCCCATCGAATGGGAGCCAGGAGGATCAGTCGGTTGTTATCACTGAATGGATCCTGATCCTAAAGGAGGTCATTCCTTTTTCACCCGTGGAATTAATTAATCTATTTATGTGTAATCTGAGAATTATTCCAGGAGTTGTTCTGGTATTGTAAAAAATAATGATCCGCACGTCGCTCACATTAGAGTTCAAGTGGAGGATTTTCCTGAATTTTTTGAAAAGATCCACCCTCTGCACTTTAAAATAGAAATGCAGATGCTCAACCCCATACCTGCATAGACCTGTTGATTGTAGATTTTACAGTTTGCCCATCAGCTGTTAGCAGGTCATTTGCCTGAGCTGAATGCTGTTATCATCTCCTGGGTGGTCTGAGCACTCCTCTGACCTCTGACCTCTGACCTCTGACCAGCTGTCTTTAAAGTTTCAACCAGAAAAAAATCTCTAAATATTGAGCAGCCGGAGCCTTTCCGCCCTGCCATTGAGAAAACACCTCCAGGGTCTTCAGATGCTCACATGTGGACCTGTCCTTGCAGCCCAGCCAGCTGTTCTCCCCCACAGATGTTTCCAATCCTCCAGCCTGCTCTGCAGCTTTCTGCTGGCTTACAGCTGACACGCCTACTGCGTCAGCTGCTACGCCTCCAGAGAGATGTGCCTGCTGGAGCAGAGCCTGCAGCGGTGCCCCCTGCTGGACACGGAGGTGAAGCTGGGTTTGGTTTCAGAGACCGTAGGCTCACAGCCTGTCTGTTTGATTCTGTGCAGGAGGTTCAGGAAGGAACCAGCAGCAGAGGAACATGGTCAGGCGTCAGGAGAAGCTCTGATGGAGCAGAGGAGATGGGAACAGGAAGCCCAGGCTGCTTTGCTTCAGGAGAAGAAGCTACAGGAGAGAAAGTAAACAGAAATGACCTCTGGTCCAAATAAGCAAAGGTTCAGAGATGATCTGATCATCTTCCAGCTCCAGCAGTGAAGCACATTCACCTGATTCAAATTCATCCTATTGTCCTGAGTGAAGGAGCAGCTTCTGCTCTTCAGTTAGAGGCCTTAGAGAAGATCTGGAGCGGTCCAGAAGCTCTCTGCATGCCCAGTGTTAGTGCTGGAAGGTCCTGGGTCTGTAGCCTGGTGACCATGCAGCCATGGATGCTCATCTGAGGGTCAGCCCTGCTCCAGGCTCTCAGCCAATCATAAAAGACTTCAGCACCTGCCGAGGGGACTCTGGTTTTGCAGTTTAGATGTTTCAGCCTTCATCTGATGAGCTTCTTCCGTCCTCCACAGAACAGATCCGAATAATTACTGTGGAGAAGCTTCTATGAACTACAGCCAGACAGGCGGACATATTGCACTGCCACTGGGTGTCAATGAGGACAGAAAACTGAAGATGGAATTTCTCTGAAATATTCATTGAGTTGTTTGAGCAACATGAAGAAAATGGAGAGATTTGTAGAAGATGATTTGGTCTAAATCTCAACAGAAATAAGACTGTGTCAGTTTACCTGATAAATACTCATAGGATACGTATTGCAGCAGTGACACCTGCTGCCAGGAGGTCACTTTGCATGCTGATCAACTATCAAACTGATAATTTGATAAGTTTAGACGTTTACCTGGAACATATCAAGTAGAAATAGTTACTAATAACAAAACATTAACTTACAGTAGCAGCCATTCAGAATGACCCTTCCCAGTCAAACAGCAGCTGAATGGGAGCCCACTTCCCTGCAACTCCCAACAGAGATTCCCTCCAACTTCCAGCCACTGGACTAACCCCCTCTTGCATAATTTTTACTCTGACTCAGGGGCGGATCTAGAAAAATATTTACGGGGTGGCGAGAGGGGGGCAGGAATTTTGGAGGGGTGGCAACATATTGCATATGTTTACATTGAATTTAATCACAGTTTGGTGTTTCTTGTGAAACAGTTCATATTGGTAATACATCGTACAATGTGATCTCACCTAATAGGAGATAGAAGAATGATAACACTACTTTTAGAGGGGCATTATGACAGGAAAGGTATTAA